TATAATAAATGATCAAGAAACAATAATCAGGCTTTTCAAGAACCCAAAACATAGTTAAACTGTTTGTATCATAAAAAGTGGGCTCCTTTGTGCACATGCGCAGATCGGACTGTAGATCACCTTTAAGGAAGCGACGTTTTTGCCAACACGGACGTCACCCGAAAATTAGTACAAATAATTTTGGCGACATTTTGCATCATCGTGCTCGTGTGAGGAAGCAAAAACTCTACGAATTTTATGTTTTGTCATATGTTTTGAAGATTATATCACAAGCTGATACAAACATAGTTTTTAATCCAGTCCTCTCTCGGCAATCTGACGTCGGTTTAATAAAAAGCTTGCTTAAACACCCTGTTAATATATTTAAGACCTCCCTTAGTCCCTTTACCGGCAACCTCTCATCGGACGCCTACACCAAAACGAAAATCACAAGTGAACATTTGATCCTGCTGTAAGCGGACAGTATACATTGTATTTCCGTTAAAAATATTCTTTATCAGGGTTGCTCAAGGTTAACAAGATCTGGTTGATGAAGATTTCAATACTAAGATGATGAGTGAAGGCAGGATTGTATCGTTATACCTTTATACACTATTACAATAGGCAATTATTAACGAGACTCTCACAGCTGACATCCCCCAAGCGAACACCACAACGCAGCCTCGAGGATGTCCGATAACAAGAGCTTCGACCACGTATATGTAATAATTTTTGACTTACTGACATTCGTGTCCATTATTTAAAAAAAGAATAGTACTGCTCAAACCATAGCCAAGATCCTTTGGTGTTATCGTGCTGCTACCAATACACATTAGTTTACCACACTGAACGTCCCTGAAGAATATTACAGTATTCTCATTATGTCATGGGGGTTGTACGAATAGCTTAGGTTGGTAATCATCCATGATTACCAACATTTTCCCAATCTTCCAAAGAATAGTATTTTTCTGATTCCATTCCCCCTCTTCTTAACTAGTGGATTCAACAGTATAAGCATTACCATACTTGTTTTTACAAGCCATATATTTATTTTCTGACAGTTTTTTGCAGTAACCAGTTTCATCACCATTTCTGTTTCCATCTTCGTAACAAGACTCATCCGCTTTGAAAGCACCTAGATACAAGCAGACAACAGCATTTTTAAGCTGAACCTAAAGGCGAACAACAAGAACAACATAAATCTTGCCATAACAATAATGCCATCTAGTCACGGTCCAGAGATCGGAACGATCCTTGCATTTTGTATTTTAAAAAAGACAAGATTCTTCGTGCCTACCAGCTGCGATGGGCTAATGGAAATGTTCCATCGCCTTTTCATTGTTTTGAAAATCCCAATGTTCTCCATACCATTGAGTCATCCAGTGCGCAAAGGTTTTATGGATGGACCATAAAAAATCACATCAAGCTTAAAAAGAAAATAGTTAAACCAGATACATACCACCAATCCATAATTGATCACATTGATTATCATGAGTTCTACATTCTCCCCTGTAACAGTATCCCTGTAGAAGAAAAATTTACAAACGTTATTGGCGAATTGAAAATAACGTTTCTGACGTTACGTGCCATCTGCTGTCCCAGAACGCACCAATATATAAAGGTCTAACTGAGATAAAACAAAAGATATAAGATGCTTCTCTGACCTGTTCAACATCACAGGATATGCCATTCACCGTCACCAGGTCAGCAGGACACTAAAATATGACAAAGAATAGCAATTTAGTGTTAGTACGTCAAACCAAACACCATCTCGGTTGCGCCAGGCAAATTAACTCTGTACCAAATTATTGGACTCCACATTGAAAACCACAAGTTACCATCGCTAAATGTCATGCTTAGGACAAACATTTAATTCGATGTTACACAGGGCAATACGGCAATGCAAATGATGTTATATTGATTCGCTCGGCAACGATTTGCATTTGCAAATTGTTGTTCAAAATTGTTCGATCTGTGTCACATCACCCTTAAAACCCGTTTACACTTGTAAATTTTGCAGCGATTTCTAGTGAGATTTTCTTCTTCTGAAGCATGGAAACGAGTAGACGAATTATGATATTCTGAACCTAAGAGTTCAATGATTTAGAGAGTAAGCTGGTTGTAAACGGGCCTTTAGAGAGTAAGCTGGAGCCGACGTATTTATCTGCTTTTGACGTCATTATGAAAAAGGTCTATTTCGGATCGTTTTAAAATCATATCTGTTAAACGTTTCTTGGATACCTTGCACAAAATAAATTATGTTTTAACACTCACAACTTGGCTTGTTCCATCACAAAACTCCGGAACATCGCACGAGTTTACTGCTTCACGACAAACTGTACCTCTAGCGATAAACTGAAATGAAAAAAAATCGATTAACAAGATCAAAATGTAGGTTAATAAAGTTAAGAATACAAATAAGATCGTTCTTTGCACAAGTTTCATGCCATATTATTCCAATACAAGATCATTCATGTCTAGTTACTGCACACAACAGTATATATATTCATTCCTTACCTGGCAGTTACTACAGCAAGTGTTGTTAGCACGTTCACAGTTCTGTAAAAGATTTCAAAATATTATACATAGAATTCCACTATATTATATATACAATTTCACTTTTGATTAATATGGCCAGGAAACGTGTTTTTTCACTTTCAGGAATCATGTCCCGGTAAGAAACCTTGTTTCTTGATTCCCCCCGTTGGGAAACATGACCATGAAACAATGTTACCTGTTTTTTCATCTTCGGAAAACATGGCTAGGAAACCATCAACCATGCGTGTTTCCTGGTTTGTCTTGGAAACATGGTTAATAGGAAACATGGCTAGGAATAGTTAAGTTTAATTTTTCAGTCACCTCTAGTGTACCACAGTCACATCCTTCTCCATCCTCTATCAAACCATTGCCACAGGCTGACTCTGAGAAAATCAAGGAATAAAAATTGATCATCTGAGAAAATCAGGAAATAAAAATTCTTCATCTGAGAAAATCAAGAAATAAAGATTGATCATTTGAGAAAATCAAGAAATAAAGATTGATCATCTGAGAAAATCAAGAAATGAAAATTCTTCACTAGGAACTATACAAAAATCGTGTTGGTGTCGTTGGTGTCAAGATGTGTTTTAGTGAGACCCATGCACTGGACATATATTGTACGTCTAGTACAGTAATTACACTTTTGCTGAATATGGCCAAGAAACGTGTTTTTTCACTTTCACCACGTGGTCTGACGGTGAGCAAAAGGACTGGGGCTAGCAACAGAATAGAAATCCAGTTCGTACTTTTAATCACTTGTCACGCCCTGATTCTTTTGTGAAACTCTTTGAAACTTTGTGTCTGTGTCTTACACAGGGAAATGAATGTAAACCAGAAATGGATTTTTATTTTACAACTAGTGCCAGGCCTTTTCCGAGTTCTGGGATCACCTGGCAGGAGTCATGTGACACGCTCTGTGTCAGGATAAATTACAGTTGAACTATAACATATAGTCGAGGCTGGTAGAATTAGAATATGCATCTCAAAGTATATTCAACTGTTCAATCATTTGAATATACAGAAATTGATGAAAGAACAATCAGTTTCTGCATGGTCGATTCGCTGTAAATTCAGTCGAAACTCTGATTTGGCAAAGAGTTCCTCCACGAGAAGAGTGTTTCCAGTTTGTCTCTACCAAACACCGCAGATTTTCTCTGGGTATTCCTATTTTCTCCCGTTGTAATTTTGGTGGATCAATTAGGGAATGAACTTTCTGGATCTCTGGAGAGAAGACTAATAACTGATACAGCTTTCCAGTATAAATACAGTTAGTTTACGGGGTATGGTATATATATATTTACAAAATAATGGTTTAATATTACAAAAACGGTTACAAAGTTTGGAACAACAAACAAAAAACCAAACTATACTAACTATGCACTAACCTTAACTATACTAACCATGCACTTAACATTAATCTTTACTAATTAACTAGTTACTGATAAGTTGTTTTCCTTTCTTTCTATTCATTTGTTCTTTCAAACTACATGTAACTGTTTTAATTTTGTAATATTAAACAATTATTTTGTAAATATATATATACCATACCCTGTAAATATATTTAGATTGCTCTGAAGATGTTGTATTGTAAACAACGCAAGTTAATTTAAGTCAATTCTGGACATCTCTATTGTCATACATACCACAAGAATTATTAAAAGACGTCACTGTATCATTACATTGATATTCAAAGTAAAGATATTTTGTCAATCCAGGACATAGATCACCAGAGAACAAGGTTTCATCTACAGTTATACTACACTCATGTTGACCATCACATTGTTTCTTAACAAGACATGTTACATTAACTTCACAACTATAATCATCACTCGAACCACATGCCTTTGTATCAGACAATCCACGGTACGATGCAGTCTTGACCACCATGTACTGATCTTTAGGACAGTTGGCATTCTCTACCATATTTCCATGACACGTCACTGAACCTGGAACAGAACGAAAATTTAGAAATGACGAGCACTAAATGGCAATATCAAGTAGGGCAAGAGATTTTGCTGAACGGCATAGCGATGTATACAAAATGCAAAACATTATTGCTGCACATGATATATATTCTTATACAGAAATTCAGCATTATATGAAATATTTGGAACAACTATAGAGTCTTGCTCGTGATTTACTTTAATAAGGAAAATCTAATTATACGTGAAGTTCAACAAGCTTGGCTGTCTTCGGACCGCAACGTTTTATTTTCTTCATCGATCGATGACATAAAATATTTAGTTTTTTTAAGGCTTTAGCAGTTCCCGAGGTAATTGAATCATTCTCACATGTATAAAGAAGGTATAAACCATGTAATATGTTTTTTGCAATACGCTTCCCAGGTATGGCATTTTAATATTACTGACTATTTATGCGAGGATTATTGAACTGTACATGTGTGATAATTTTTTTAGAAACAACCATGCTAATTCGAAATTACAAGAATTTTTATCGAATAGAATTTTAACTAATTATAAACTAAGAAGATATCAGTGGCGGAAATTCCCTTTTTTTCTGTGGGAGGGCAAAGCCTCCTAAATTTCCGACAAAACTTTTAAATTTCCGACAACCCCCCACCCCCTCAAGGCTGTTTTTAGCCCTCTTTTAGGTCAAAATTTGTCATTTTCCGTTAAAGTGTGTGTGTGTGTGGGGGGGAGGGGGGTGGTCTCCCCCCGCCTCACCAAGATTTCCACCACTGTAAGAAGTAGTGGATTTTACTCTGCAAGACTGAACGTTTTAAAAGGTCGTTTTACCGCAATGTGTCGCGAAAAACTAGTAATTGTAAGTAGTCTCTAGTTATTATTGTAAATTGTTAGAACTGACGTTTAGGTTACAAAATCGGTCTTTTAATAAAGTATAAAGTAAAGTTGAAACCTAAGTCATAATACAAGTTGTTTACGTCTAGCCTCTACTCTAGACAAACTTAGCGGCAATGGTGAGTGATAAATTTAATAATTAAGTAAATATCAAATACCATGCACAAATAAGAACTTTTTTATGTGCAAATGCCAAATATACATCAAACGCTTTGACTGCATACAAATAAAAACAACTTACCAAAATTGAAACGTTTATACTCTGCATCAGTACAATTTGTCGTCAATCTGATGTAGGGATCTATTCCTTGGTTTGTAGCAAGTCGATCATCTTTACCAGGGACTGCACACCGCGTCTGTTTATGAGGTGCATAATATACATATAAACCTCCCCAAGGGGTCTGGGTTATAGCATGTCTCTGAGTACAATTACGTGAAGCTTCAAAGACCAAATACAACATAGGAAGATTATAACCACCATTATCTAAACTCCTATTTGTTCCCCTGAAACATATCTTTCTTTTCAAATTGAGCAAGGCACCATTATCAAGAAACCGAGACTGAGCAGCTGGATCCAAACAGTTGTTGGAAAGTTCCACAAAATATAAGGTTCTCAAACGCCCTTCCACCAGTATTACTCTTGTGTCATTTATACACATCCCTGTCTGCACATGTTTCACAAAGAAACAAGCAGCGCCTGAAACAAAACACAAAAATAAGAAATAAATAACGAAGTAAATAATGGACTCCTGTTGCGTGTCTGTGTGCTTGCGTTTATATGAAGTACCATGTAAATAGATGGTTGTTGACGGCATAGTGTCTTTCACATGCTTTTGAAATTGCATGGATAACCAATATAAAACATTACTAAATGTTTCTTTGTTGTCTACGGTGGTTAAATCACAACTTTTACGAAATTTTAAAATCTCATGCATCAAGCTAATGCAACACGCATCAAGATAATGGAAGCTAATCAACTAAACTGGTTGACTGTTCAGTCGCTGCTGTACATTGACATCGTTTACGGCAGAGTTTGCAAAATTAGTGCCAGTGGAGTTTAATCAAATCCTTCACAGCAAGGCTGTAGTTTTAGTAGTTTTGAAATATAGTCATAACCACTATTCTTAGTCTCTTAGATAAGTAAGTACAGCAGCGCTGCATGCATTTGAAATGTGTGTTATCAACGACAGAAAACGTACCTTGTAGTGACAGGAAAATCCATACTACCATTACAAACTGATTACACTTTGGTAACATCTTCTTTAATCCAGTTAGTAATCCAGGAAACACCTTATAATTCGGGAAACAAGATGTTGGAATTTACGTCTTAACGCGGAACACGAAATGAATCAATGTAGCAAAGCAAAATCAGATGAATATCTCGTTCAAACTCGACATAAATGGCTCTATATAATGGACCTATTACCCAATGAACAAAATTTTGATCTAGACAAGTCTAGACACAAATTTCATCACAGCTTGAAAGAGCATCACAAAATTAGTAATTTTTTTCTGTGTTGGTGTAGTGTACTCAGGTGAATATGATATTTGTGGTGTTACTCTGAGTGTATATCCACACCGGGCGAGCTTGAAAAATATGCCCGGCCACGGTGGGATTCGAACCTACGACCTTTGGAAT